TCTTAACAAGATAAAATTAGTGGTTCTTGAAAATTATCTTTTGACCTTTGGTTTTTTATTTAGGAGGAGCTCCAAATATGAATTAGTGTTTCTTTTCGAGTGTTGGCGATGGATTTAATACCAAAGCCCTGGAGATGAACTAATAGAAATTAGATGACAGAGTACATTGTGTTCCTCACAGGAGGAAAAAAATAGCATTTCACAAAAACAACTCTACAACTCAGCAAAGTTAATTGGAACAGATTTCTTAGGTCATTTAGCTGATCTCCAGAGACCAGTAAATGATTATGCATTATCATGTATCTCCTTGTGCTTCATCCAGTTTGGTTTTAAATGACTTAAATAATGGGGCATCTACTTCTTTTGCAGTGAAAATTACTCCACAGCCCATTTTTTAAAATTAATTTCACCCCCAAATATCATGTGTAACAAAAGGAGAAACATGCCAGCACAAAATGTCATTGTCATATTCTTCCCACTCCAGCATTTCTCGTTTGTCAACATTTCATTTAAAATCTTCCAGAACTACAATTCCAAGACTCACTATTGACCTTTATATTTCTATACCACCATAACTGAATAGCTCAAGAGAATACTTTTCCCTTTACTCTCTACCTTCATCCTGGTGCTGTATTTACTTGCATTTTCTCCCTAGTCTTTCCCCTGCCCCTCAAGTATAGGGTGTCCCTCTCCCCACCAATAAAAAATATAAAACGTGGTTCATTAAGCATGCTTCCACCTTCTTCAACTGCTCCCACCAAGCCTTCATGGGCTGACAAGAGGAAAATGGTTCTTCAGGCTACAACAGGAGAAGCATTCCAGTCTCCCTAGGGTCAACATTTTAGCAACAACAGTTTATCCACATCACTCCTTTCTCCTGCAACAGACACACTCCTGTCTTCAGTTAAGTGGGGTCAATCAAGGGACCAGAGAAATGACGTGACTTGCCCTAAGTCACACAGGTAGAACAAATAGCAGAACTGTGAGTCAAACTGAGGTCCTCTGACTCCAAATTGACTAATCTAATCACTATATACCAAACTCTCTCATTTGTCTTCTGGACTCTTGGTGTTACTTGCCTTACATGACACAGTGTTACAAGAAACAAGAACTGTTCACAGAATCACAAAAGCTAAGAGTTGAAAGTGATGTCAGAGGCCATTGAGTTCTATCCATACCAAACAAAACTACTTCATGTCATTCCCAACAAATGGACATCCAGCTTGTTCTGGAAGGTATCTACTAGAGAATTTGCCCCACTACCTCCTGAGGCAGCCTACCTCACTTTTCTACAGCCTATTAGGAAGTTTTTCATGACAAAACCTAAATTTGACATGACTTCTACTCATCGTACCTTGTACTGCCCTCTGGGGCCCAGCAGAAAAAATCTAATGGCTTCTTCATATGACAACCCTTTAAACACTTTAAGATATATCATGTCTCTCTTTAGCCTACTCTTCTTCAGTCTAAATGTCTTTAGATTCTTCAATTGATCCTTATATGGCAGGATCCCCAGGCCCTTCACCATCATGGTGACCTTCTCTGAATATTTTCTCACTCATTAGTGTCCTAAGTCATGTTTCTGGGGACTGAAGACAATACTTCAGATATGGCTTGATCAGGGCAGAATCAAGCCAGACTATATGACCTCCCTAGTACAGGACATTATGCTCCTAAATCAACCTAAAATCCCACTAGTTTTGTTTTGTTTTGTTTTTTGCTTTAATACTATATTATTAATATTATATATACATTACACCTATCAATTCAGGAATGGCTGAACAAGTTGGGGCATATGATGTAATGGAATACTATTATTCTATAAGAAATGATGAACAAGATGCTTTCAGAAAAACCTGGACTTACATGAACTGATGCAAAGTGAAAAGAGAAGAACCAGAACATTGTACACAGTAATAACAGTATTGTACAATGATCAAGTGTGAATGACTTAGCTATTCTCAGTAATACAATAATCGAAGAAAATTCTGAAGGACTCATGACGAAAAATTATATCCACCTCTGGAGAAAAAGCTGATGGAGTCTGAACGCAGATCAAAGTACACTTTTTTTTAAACTTTATTTTTCTCGGGATTTTTTGTCTGTTTTCTTTCACAATATGACTAATATGGAAATATATTTTGCATGACTTCTTCTGCTTAGCTTTCCTCCACACTCAGTTCATTAAAAGTTAGTGCTGCTGGCATCATTCCTACGGCAATGTCCCACGTTTTAAATTTTTTACGGATCTCATTTGTCTTCTATAGTATCTTCACTGTCCCAAATATATCGCTTCCCTAGCCATCACTCATAACAAGGAATAACAATGGGGGAGGAGAGGGAAACTTCACTTCAGAAAGGTATTAACTGAGTCTGACAGGATATGCAATGTTCCCCACCTTAATCCCTCATATTTGATAAAAAGGGAGGCAGGCATGTTTTTTTTTCATCTCTTGCTTGAAGCCAAGCATGGTCATTAGAATTATAAAACATTCAGTTTCTATTTTTTTATTCACATTGCTAGAGTCAGTGTGTAATGGGTTTTTTTCCATTCTGCTTACTTTACACTGCAGCTGGTCAAATAAGTCTTCCATGCTTCTCTGTATTCATCATTTCTTACAACACTAATATTCTCTTACATTCATGTAGCACATTTTGTTTAGCCATTCCCCAACTGGTGGACATCGAGCTTGTTTTTAGGTTTTTGCTATTATATAAACAATGCTGCTACAAAAATATTGGTATATTTGGGACCTTTCTATCTTTGACCTTCTTGGGGATGCATGTGTAGTAGTCAGATTTCTTGAGTCAAATGCTAATTAGTCATCTTTTTAACATGATTTCAAATTACTTTCCAGAATGTTTCTTCCAGTATATTGGATATCTATTTTTCCACGGCCCTCCAAGACTGAATATCCCCATTTTATTGTGTGTCTTGTTTTTGTATTCATTCCATTTCCTGCCCTTGCTTCCATCATTTGTGCATTTGTTTTTATAAAATTCAATAGGCTGAGGTCCCTGTGTATCCACATTGATTTCTTTAAACACCTCCCTTTTCCTTCTCATAGGAACTATTTATCTTTGTGTTTTTAGGATTTAATTCGTAAACAACTACTGATTCCTCTTAGCTTGACTAATTCCATATGAATCCATGAATGAATGAATGAATGAATGAATGAATGAATGAATGAATGAATATTGTATTGAGCACCCTTTCCAGAAGCAATAATAGTATTGATATGATGACCATTTTTAGTCCATGACATCCTATATATTGTTTCTCTTAATGCTTTTTAAATCTGATCTTACAAAATCTGGAATAAACTCCAGACAATGCTAGCTTTCCTCTTCTCTATAATAAATTCTAAAATGCAGTGACTACTTTCCCTGAAGGTTCCCACCATTTCTACTACTTCAGCAACCAGTCCCTGTTGGTCAGAATCAGGTCTGGGACTATAGCTCCCCTCACTGGTTATTCCACCTTTTGACAGATGAAATTATCAGGGCAAACCAAGAAATTATTAACTCCTAAGCTGGTGACAGAGAGGAAACTCTAGCAAAGGTTTGGATTAAAGTGCCCCCAACCACTACCAGCATCGCCTACTCCGACATGACCCCCAGGCATATTAAACTCATGGTGAATGTAACTGGGCATTAGAACCTTTTTCATCTTGTAAAATAGTGAAAAATCTTGCTAATTTCTTTTTAATTCTTTGCCTAGCAACAAATCCTTTACTTCATTTTTGGTCTCATTAATACTATGGGTTTTTTTTATCACAATCATGTCCCAATATGCTCTTCTCCCCTTTCTCTCTGTATATGCCACTTTTGGAATTTCCTTTTTCCTCTTTAGAGGAGGAGAGAGAATTTAATCATCTGCCCTGTGAATCCAATCAACTCATTGATTTTAGAGTGGTGATTCTAGAAATTAACTGGTGTAGAGGTAAGAAGGGCTATTTGGCTTACCAATTCTTAACACGAACAGAGTTTTGCTGCTTTGTTAACCCCCTCCAGGAAGGAAAAATAGCAAAAGGAGAAAGTTAGAGAATGGTCCTGTTCCAACAATGTCATTGCTATGATGTCTAATAGTTTTCATTACTCCTTCCAACATGGCCCTTCTTGATTTTTTTTTCCAGCTCCCCAATGACTTTAGCAATGTAAAAACTAGAAAATGATGATTTGGTATTATTAATTCTTCTCATCTTAGTGAAAAGCTGGCTCATCTTAGACAGCCCAAACAACTCTAATGTGTGTAAATCTTGTTTCCCACTCTTCTCATGTAAGTGGTAGGAAGAGAGGGTTGATCTCAATCTTCAATGCCATTTCTATCCCAGAAAGCCATAATCCTATCTTTTCTTCCCATTTAAAGTCTATTACTGTCCCCTCCCCAGCAAGGACAAACTTTCATTATTCAAAACTGTTTTAGTACCAGGCCCACCTTTTCTTCTCCGTCATGCTCCAACACCATCTTTCAATACCTTGATTATAGGCATTTGAGAGACCTCAAATTCACATCTGCTTGCTTTTTACTCCAATAACTGTTTTCTCTCCACATCAACCATACACTGGCATGGCTATATTCTGGACTTCATCACCATATGACACTACTCCACTTGTTTTCCTCTCTTTGACTTCAGTCCCAAATTTGTCACCTACATGTCCTGGTAGTACCTCGTACTCAATACATCCAAAACTCTGGAGGCCCCTCCTTCCAACGTCCTTATTTCATTGATGGCAAGATTATCCTTTGAGTAACTTGTGACAATTTACGGATCAGTTAATTAGGTCCTTTTGGTTTTTCCCTATAACCTTTCTTTTTGGATGAAGGTATCCCTCCTCACTAAAACAAACCTTTTCACTTGTGTTCTCAATTCAATTTAGTAAACATTTAAGTACCTGCCACCTGTAAGGCATTATGCAAACCACATGAATACAAAGACTGTTAAACTGACAGTCCCTGACATCAAAGAGTTTACCTTCTCCAGCGGTGGGGGGTGGTGAACAGGGAACAGGAATTCCACATACACAAATAAGTAATAATGTGCTGGTAAAATTTACCAACTGGCTCTTTCCTAAAAAAAAAAAAGTACATATACTTTTGACTTTAACCGCATTATTAATACTCTTTCCACCACTTTAAGCCTAGACAATCAACAAAATAATAAATCTGATTTGTAGGTTTGCTGATTTCTGAGATGTAGATGTAAAAGTTCACATCAAAAACTTAAAAGACTGGAGCCTGGCTCCAACACATCCTTGGTATAATATAAGGTAAGGTATAATGGGGGTGGGTGAGAGGAGAGGAAAAGTAGAGATCCAGACAAGGTGCTCTAGGAAAATTTTATGAAAAGACACTTATAGCTGGTGAGGAGGAGGTGAATGTTCCTGACCCCAAGCCCAGTGATCTATCTGCTGTGCCACCTAGTGAAAAAATAGAAAGATCAATTAAGAGACTACTACAGTAATCCAGGTGAAAGGTTACAAGAGCCTAAGCTAGTTAGGTGTTATTGGGAATGGAGTGAAGGGGTTAGATACCAGAAAGGTTACAGAAGAAGAACCAAAAGGAAACTGTCAAAAGTTACTCCAAGGATAATCTTGCCATCAATGGAAATACGGAAATTAGAAGGAGGGGCAGGTTTGTGAGAGATGGGAGGGGCAGAGTTTTGGATATATTGAGTATGAGGTACTACCAGGACATGCAGAGGACATAAATATGTGACCGAAGTGAGGAGAGGGGTTAGGACTGGATATACAAGGTGTCTCAAAAGTCTTGTGCCTTTTAGAACTCTAGTAATTTTAAATGCACTAAGACTTTTGGGATACCTCAACTATAAACACAACATGTGTTATAAATTGAACCCGAATGAGGGGAGGTGGGGGGTGAGATTTCTTTTCATTTCCACGGCTTTCACCCTTATCCACGACCTCATCACCCCATCCCTAATTAAGTAACTGCAATGTAGATTACCTGACTACCTACTTTTATTATATTTCCCCCTGTTACTCCATCCTACACTCTACCTACTGATTAATCTTCCTATTAGCTCACGTTTATGTAATACTTTAAGATTTGAAAGGAACTCTACATAATTCATTTGAGCCTAACCACATCGTGAGGTACGTGCTATTGATCCCATTTTATAGATGAGGAACATGAGGTGCAGAGAAGTCAAGGTACTTACAACAGGTCACACAATCAAGTGTAACAACTCAAACTGAGTTTTCCTGATTCGAAGTTCAGTGCTCTTTTATCATGTTATTTGCCTTCTAAAAAAAATCTTTATCTTGGTTAGCCACAGCCTCAACTCCAAAGAGATCTGCCGAACTCTACAGGTTCTTCATAATCTGGCTTCCCCCTACCCATCCAACTTTTTTTCCCACTACTTCCCAAAGAAATTACTCACTTCAATCATGCTAGTGTCTCTTATTTCATTCCCCCTTCCCTCCAGATTTCCAGGCCTTTGTTCATGTTGATCCCCCGCAACCTAGAATATAGTAGAAATACTATAATCTTCCTTTGGGGCATTAAAGAAAATCCTAATATAATCTCAGGCTTAAGTAATAGCAGTACCCAGCAAGAGAGAGGTAAGAGTCTCACCACAGGGGCAGCTAGGTGGCACAGTGTTTAGAGCTCCAGCCCTGAAGTCAGGAGGACCTGAGTCCAAATATGGCCTCAGACACATAACACTCACTAGTTGTGTAACCCTGGGCAAGTCACTTAACCCCAATTGCCTCACATCAAAAAAAAAAAAGCGTCCCAACACACTCTGTTCTAAACAGACCATATGGAGAGTATTTGCGTGTAAAGGCTAGAATAGGTCCTGAGGAGGGCCACCAGGAGAGTGAAGGGACTTAAAATAACAACACGTGGGAAAGTTTAAGGAGTATTTAGGGGAGGCATCATTCCCATCCTCAAATATGTGAAGGACTAGCACGTAGGTGAGGGATTAGATGCTGGTTTCAGAAATGGATAGGCTCAATTGGCAGATATTATGGGTACAAAGATTTTAGTTCCATATAGGAGTGAGCTAACTCTTAGAACTGCCCCCAGAATGGAATGGGCTGTTTCTGAAAAAAAGAGTTCTTTTGTCACTGGAAGTCTTCAAGTAGAGGCCAATCACTTATCAGGGATATTACAGATATTTCATGATTTTGGGCAAAAAATTGAACTAAGAGACATCTAACATCTCTTTTGATTCTAAAATCCTGACTCTTTACATGTTGTTCTATAAACCAATCAAGAGTTGAGCATTTTGTTACGCTTTCAAATATTGGCTTCCTTTCCCCTCGATTACCAGACTCTCTTTCCCACCCCAAAATTTTCACTTCCAGTATCAGAGCAAACAAAATGCACCACTGTGAGGCATTAATGATCCTCTAGATATGTGGGGCAGGAAGAGCAGCTCTTTAAAAGTTCAGTTCCTTAGCCCCATAGGAAACAGCCCTATATGGTTGGTCTGGATGTTACTTAAGTGATAATAGTTTGAGCACTGGGGTCTTGAATGCTTCTTAAACATAAACATCACAATTTCTGCCTCTTTTATTAAAGCAAGACTGTAAAAAAAAAAAAGCTTCCCTTAGAGAGATTTTTTCTTTACTAATTAACCTAATACTTCTTTCCTTGAAAAATCTCAAGAGCAGCTGGGTTATACAAATTGCTACTATTGGAGCACAGGAATTTTTTTCACCCTTCTAGCCCAATCACATTTGTTGGCACAGCTTCTCAAATACTGGCAAGGCCTATAAATTAACTACCTGAAGCACTCTTCCTAGATTTACAACAGAACTGCCCAATTTTTCCAAAATGAATATGCTTTAATGCATCAGCTTTGTTGTCTGAGGGATTGGAAAAGTTGCTTATTGATTACATATATAACATAAGGGTTTTGATAAATTTGCTATAGATAAAACATTCATGAGTTTGGACAAATTGAGATGAAGCTTAAAGCTTCCTAATAGAAGATTGTATAGGTGATTCAATATCTAAAATTACCCACATACAAAAGTAAGTATATGCTTTGATGGGGATTATATTCTTGAAGGCTCTATTTCTAGATTCATCACCAAGTCAATTAACTAATATGTCTTAACCCAATTTTCCTATCTGTTGAACAGGGAGAAGAAATTGCTAATGTTAGCAAAGGAGTTTCATATTGTAGCAGACTACAGAGATTCATGAAGAAAAAAAAATAATCAAATCCACAAAATATTTTAGGCATTATTTATTAAACCATTTGGAGACCCATTTGGCAAGGTGATTGATTTCAAAACAAATAGTCCACTCCAGCAGAAAAGAAAAACACAAAGAATGCATGGATACTAGAAGCTAAAGACTTCTTGAAAGTCAGCATATATCCTAGGTTGCTTACTGATGCATGGCAAGATATAAAGCACTGTCATTCTTTTTCAATGTCAGAATATGAAGTGGAGGAGGGAGGAGAGGGAGGAAGATATGCACCATGAGTGATCAAGAAGCAAAAATATATGGTGGTGAACAGTACGAGCACACAAGTGCTTTGCTACTACAAAATTTAAGACAATACAGAGGGTAAAAAAGAATATCCACTAATGTCGATATTCTTATGTGGAAACAAAATGATTTTGGAATTTAAAAAAATATAATTGTAATTCATAATATAAGACCACCAGTTTGGGGACATTAACAAGAGAAGCAATATGCTCAAAAATGAACCTATCAGAAAAAAATCACTTTGAGTTTAATTTTCATTTCACTTAACAGGACTTGTACAACAAAGACTTGCCAAATAGCCAAAGCATGAGATCACTGGAAATTTCACTAAGATTTGTTAAACAGATACTATAAAATGACTACTAAAATAATAATAATAATAATTCAGGGTATAATCTGACTGCTTTCAGTTTAATCTGACTGTAGCAGCTATCTCCAAAGAATAAATGTGTCTGCCCTCCCATTTGTACCTCCCTACCATACTGAAACAGTATCAGGAAGAAAATACTGTTCACTCTTTCAAATAAATCTTTCATGACAAAATATAGCCCTGAAGTTAAAAGTGAGTTGTGATCCATTAGCCTATTGCATTTGTTACTTAAAATACAAAGGAAAGGTTACCTTCCTATTCATAGAAAACATCGAACTTAATGAGGCACATAGAAACATAAGCCGTTTACCTAATAAATAAATCCTTCAAAGTGAAACATGACAAAAAATAAATCTTTTGTTTTTGTTTCACCATGATTTTATGGACTATATCTATTGTTAACTGAAGAAGATAGCCGAATTCTGTAGAGGGAAATTAATCCCAAGTTTATACAAATGCTTTTAGTATTTGGGCACACTTTTGCCACAAAGTCAAAGAATATATGAAGCTTTTGGCATAGCAGACCAGATCAATTAACAATCTATATTTCTGCTTCAAAAAGGTAAGTTCAGTTTCTTTTTACTAGTATTTGCATAAATGCAGAGGTAGTGAAAAAAGGGCTCGTATTTTTTCAAATGGCATCAATCACACAAGAACCCGACACAATGATTTGAAAAATCATTTTTATAAACAGTTAAGATGGATTAATCTCATTTACTTCACAGTAGCATGTCTTCCCCAGATGTTAATGCTTTCTAACACAAGTAGAACTATCTGTATTTCGCCTCTGTCACCAGAAACAGTTGCTACATCATTATGCAAACATGATAAATTTATTTTACTAGTCAAATATTTGAATTCCACTCAAGTGCACTTAATAAAAATAAAATAGCCCTACACAACATAAATTGAGTCCTGAACTAAACCTACCATATGAACTCAAAGAGTTCTTATAATATTATAAGGGAAGTTAGATTTTAAAAGCAAAACAGATTTCAAATTGGTACATTTCATCATGGCTCAACACACAGCTTTCAGTGAAACATACAAAAGCTAATAACTAATGTTTTCCAGAATTTCAAAGAGGTTAGCTGAGCCATTAAGAGTATATCATACAAAAATAACCCCAAAACTCAGGGTTTGAAACAACAGACTGAAAAAATGAAGTTTGATATTGTTCATTTGAAACCAGATTAAATATCAAGGGGACAACTGAAGAGTATATAAAGCTTTAAATTATCCTCATTTGATTAACAAAAAAATTTGGAATAATACAGGTGCATACAACGTTTACATCATGACCTATTTTTACTCTAATGTACTTAGAAGTTTCCTAAAACATCATATTTTTGGTTCTTGAAAAATTGTTGGCTATTAAAAGTGAAAAGAGGAAAAATTCTTCAACTGGATTTCACCTAAAATGATGATATGCTCTTTTTATAAAATGCTTCTGACTCATCATATCAAATATATGCACAGAAAGATACAGCATCTTTGATGCGCCTTTTAAAAACTATGACAATTCACTACATTTGAATGGTATCTATCCTTTTCATTTATATTTTTCAGAGTTTTGTCTTTCTCAAAGACATGATTTATACCTTACTGATACTCTTCTGTTCATAATGTTGAAGAAACCGTTTTAAACAACGGCTCCTAAGATCTACTTCGGGTAGGATTCCCTAACTTTTGTCTGTAGAGCATCGCAGGTCTTCTTGGCATCCCCTAAAAGCATTGAAGTGTTGGGTTTGTAGAATATTGGGTTGTCCACAGCGGCATAGCCAACTCCCAGCGACCTCTTCATAACAATTACCTGAAACACAAATTTATTATTATTTTAATAATGTGGGCCACTCATTCCTTTAATATTAAGACATCAAAATATTTTTGGGCTAGCGAGCACATGAGCATCTATTAAAAATTTTCAGGGTACATCTAATTGAGAGGGAAGGTAGGGTAGAATTCCTAATTCAACCTTTTAGTCACTAGATCTCAAACTGTCAAAATCTTCCAATATAAAAGACCTCTAGGGACAGATTCTACCTCTCAGAAAGAAAAGAAACAGTTATTCTAACACTGTATTTCAACAAAAATAAAATGAACAGGGAAGATGAACTCTAATTTTATATGCTATAGGTGTAACACAATAACCATACATATATGACATGATGCAAGCCTAATGGGCCAATCTGGATAGCCTTGGCTGCTGTTAATTGTCACTTTTTTGTAAAATGAGCATACTTTCTGTAGTTTTCGGACATATAATTCTCAAGAAACTAGACACTGACTTACAGTACCAAGTAGAAAGTTATACTGCTCTCCCCCACCCCCCAGGAGACATTCAATTACGAACTAATGATGCAATAAACTTTGAACAAAGACATGCAAGTGTTCACATCATCTATATTTATTTAACACAAACAGTAACCAAGTTCCTAAACAGAGCATATTTTTTAAAAGACACAGGGAATGGCTAGGGTCCAGACCTGTAATTTTACTAACACAGAGAATTCCTGGATAAGGAAACTTCTTCTATTGATGCAGGTCAGCACCTTCTCTCCAACTTAGAGTCTTAGAGAGTTGCCAGGAGATTGAAAGTTTAAGTAACTTGCCCAAGGTCACCAAGCTTTTTTGTGTCAGAAGTGACACTTGAATTCAAGGTCTTCTTGGCTCTGAGACCAACTCTCCACCACACCATGACCTCAGAGTGAAGTCAAATGCTATTCTAAATCAAAGGTATTTTTTGTTTTCCTTTGTTTTGTTTTAACTTAGGCATCTCGCAAAAACATAAATTTAATTTTTTTATCCCATTTACGAAAATATGCCCATTGCTATCAGGATCACATGGGGGGGGGGGTGGCGCGGCAGGGGCGCAGGAAGGAGAAACACCTGCTAAGTGCTTTGACCTTTCTAGAAGCTGTCTTCACTGGCCTCCTTGAAAATGATGTACTTGAGTAAAATTAAACTCACTGAAATACAGCTTATTTGGGGCGGGGGGGGGGAGATTACTTTTCTGTAAAACAATGTCTATCAATGACAGTTAAACCTTTGTAAAATAGCTGATGAAAATACATTCTATCCTTCATATATGAAAATGACATTACTGATTTGCTGTCACAGAGTGAATCCAATCGTTCTTAGTTATTTACACCAAGCACTGAATCTGGATTTCATTCAGTTATCGTCAAATAGTATTAAATTATTCTTCCAGCTGAAGTGACGGGTTTACACTGTTCTATCCACTTTCTCATACTCGGTTGTACTCACAGCCAGAGATACACACCTGAGTTGCATCTACAACCATGGAACAGAATGAAATCCATAAAGAAATTAAAAACCCAAACCCCAACCTCATAATAACACCATGCTCTAACCCAGTGGTATCAAATTCAAATAGAAACAGAGGCCACTAAGCCGTCATAAGGATCCCTGAGGGGTACATACTGGCTTAGTTTTAAAATGCAATTCTAGCTATGTTTTATTGCATTTCCATGTATTTTAATACATATTCCTCAATTATACTTTAAATATGGTTCAGGCTACACTTGGCAGTATTGTGGGTCATACGCAGCCTACCAGAGATTGTGTTTAACACCTCTGCTCTAACCAACTAAGCTAAGAGATGTAAGCACGGCTATTTTGCAGCACGAGATAGGAGGCAATTTGATGCTTAAAATGTAGGTAAAAACTTACTTTAAAATAGGTATTTGAAACTTTACCTGTTTTGATTTCCAGACTTCTAAAACTGGCATCCCAGCAATAATAGAGTTGGGATCTTCTTGAGCTGCTGAATTAACAGTGTCATTTGCACCAATTACAAGGACTAAATCAGTATCTATGCGATTAAAAAAAAAGAAAGAAAATTAAGACTAAAAACAAAAGTGCATCATTTTAACTCGTCCTTTGACAAGCTACAGTATCTATCTTTTAATAACATGCTTAACCTAAATAATGACAAAATCTTTAATTTACCTTTCCAAAATATTTCAGTTGCATTATTTTTGACGGGGTTATCATCACATTTTGAATTTTAGGAGAGACAAATTAGGGTCAATGATAGAATAATTAATCATGTATTGTAACTGTATCCACAGTGTCACTTAAGTGAATGATTCTGACCATTTTCTTCATTTTCAATGTCATTTTTGGCAAAAGTGAAACTCTGTGGACACTGAAATTTAAATAAATGAATAACTAGAGTAGCTAAATAAAATATCTTTAAGTACTAAAATATAAAAACAATTCTAGAGTGCCACTAAAGGACAGATGCATGCTGTCCTCCTCCTCTTCCTTCTTCCATATTCAGGATGCTTTAGATACTAAGTTCTCAGAAGAGCAAACTAGTTTAATTTCAGCAAAGCTACACATAACAGAAAAATAGTAACCACTTCAGAAATTAATCAGCAGTAGTTATAGACTAGCACTGAGCCTAATAAAATCCTATTCTACTGATAAACTCATCCTACAAAGCATAGATTGGCATAAAGAGAAGACAAGGAAATTTCATAGATTGGCAAGTATTAGGTGGATTTACTGACTAACCTTTTATTGTCTTCCTCCAAGAATATCAGCATACAAAAATTAGTTGAATTTTATGCAATGTTGTCTTTTTCTGAGTAATAAACATTCCATCATTATTATAGTCTTGTTTTTGTCTCAATTTGGTATGCTTTCATCAAAACAAAGTTTTTGAAGATATTTCTCCACCACTTCTTACCTGGGAAATCATGATTGATCTCATCCATTTCTAATACAATATCATACGGGACCCCCGCTTCAGCTAAAAGTACATTCAGCTGACCAGGCATTCGGCCTGCAACTGGATGGATTCCAAACCTAGTCATGAAATAAATGAACAGCTGGCCTTACTCTATGGGCCAAAATTTGCAAAGGGACCCCAAAATCACCTCCAAATCTGCACACATT